GGGGGGGGGGGGGACTTGCAGACGGCAGCTGTGCTGCTGCTGCTCTGCATGTGCTGCTGTGTGCGAAGTGCTTCTCCATGCTCAACCCACCAGCTGCTGCTGCTCCACATGCAGCACCCCCTCCCCCGCCACCCCAGCTCCATGTTATCCAAAGACTCTGCCAGATAACCAACGTTTTTCTATAACCAGCAATCCCCTCACCCCAGGGATGCCGCATAAACAGAGATTTTACTGCACCTCAGAATGATTGTTACATGAAAAAACAAACTTCCAATTTACTACAGTTCACAAACATTATGTTCAGTTAAATCCACAACATACTAGCATCTCTGCTCAAATTAACCATCACAGAATAGTACAAAGATCAGGACAGCAAAATCAAAATCCTACAAGGGCTGTTCAACTGGTAGCTTGATCCAAAGGAGCCATATGCTAATTAGCCCCACTCATGACTGGAACCAGGTGTTCCTGTCATGAGTTCTGGGATCCTCCAAAAGTTTATATGCAGATGAGGTTCAGCAATACCTTGTCTGGCTCTACCTCATGGAGCATGGGATCACACTAATGGATATGCAACAGGCAGAGAGGGGGCGACCGATTCTAGGTTAACTATTTGGGCCCCTGTTTGGTGCTGTTTGCCAGATATTAAGGCTGGTGAAGATACAGGAATAATTGGAATTGGGAAAGAGAGGTACAGCTCAGCTATGGGAATGAAGAAGAAGTCAAAGTATTCAGTGTAGTGGCTCACCATGACTGGCAGGGGGGAAAGAGTCAGCACTGAGAGGGACTGAACACAATGGGCACCACCATATTCAGGTGGGCTACGCTAACCTACCCTTGTGGTAAGTTCCCATCAGCATGTTTGCCCTATACGGGCCATGTGTTTTATAGTTAAACAGTATTGGCTGCATTTAAATCAACTTCATAGTTGATTTCCATTACTAAAAAACACACATTGCCTTTGGCAGCAGTTGAATGACAGACAACGTATGGATGTGCTTATGGGGGGGCACACCCTATCTTGTATTAGAGCAGATACAATATGAAAGTATTTTCCATATGTTAGGCAAAAGATGGTGTTTTCAGCTACTCCCCTTTTAAATCTTTAGTGGCTTCTGCACTATTTTCAATTAACCCGGTGGGGCCCAACCTTTTTGACAGACATGCCACAAATTAACCAACACAACCTTAGAGTGCCACTCTAATTTTATTTCCCCATCTGATCTGCTCCCTAGCCTGTGTTCCCTACCTTATCTGTTCCTTGCTTTCTGAACTGTGTTGCCTGTCCCTTTCCTAATCTGCCAGGTACCACACACAGAGGCTGTGTGGTACATGTGCTGCAGCTTGGCTACCCCTAGATTAACTAACTTATAGTAAACAATACTTCCTTAGTCCTGTTTATAACATTTTCTTGATAATTTGATTGCAATCAAACAAAAAAATTCTGAGGAAAGAGTTTTGATTATTTTTTTTATCTGTTCTCAAATTAGTCAGTCGCCAATAAGACAGAAAACCAGCACTGAAACAGGCTAGAGGAAACGCTTGCTAGAAGCCTCAAAAATCAGATCTCTCAAATGTTGTACGCTCTATTACTGAATTATTTTTCTTTTTTAACCAATTCCAAATAAATAATGTTGTTGCTGATAGTCAAGTGATATGAGAAAAGCAATTCCCTCAAGTCTGGTCTCCTCCAAAAGAAGTACTGACTTCAGTTGTAATCTCATTAGGTATCTCCTGTTACAGCCCAGAAACAACTGAACTATAATAGTCTTTCATTCTGCAACTACAACTTTCCCTTTCCTGTCCCATGACCCAAGTTAAAAGTGTGACCCTGCCCTCTGCCCCTCTCAAAAAATTTACCCTATCCCCTTCTGTCGGAACAGGTACCAGACAGAGTAGATAACATTTTAATTCTTACCTTTGAAGAGTCCCTTGATACCTCCCATCTTTTTCACCATCTGTGCAAACTTGGTATACTGTGTCAAAAGCTCTTGAACATCTCTGGTAGAAACACCTGAACCTCTCGCTACTCTTTGGATTCTTCCTGGTTGTTTACTGAAAACCTTTGCACCATCCGTACTATCAAGTTCTGCAATTAAAAGACAATGCAAAAATCCATTTCATGCCATACCTTTGAAAGTAATCTACATTTTAATGAGAATTCAGATGAGAATCATGTTTTTGTTTTTAAAGCATGGTTCTGCATTATGTTGCGCTCATTTTCAATGCGAGTGTCGACCTCACAAGCTAATCCACTCAAACTGGGTTCTTTATATCTTGTGCATCTCTATTAGCACCTAAAATTGTACAAAATGTGTTAGACTCAATTCAGTAGCACTGCACAACTGCAGGTCATAATTTTCCTGCAAAGCTTCTATGACTAGTCTTCACAGGCAAGATTAAAATAAACCAACTTGGGCACCAGGGAGAGAGAACACTGGTGGGGTAAGGAGTTGGGAGAAGCCTTTTACTTGCAAACCAAGGAAGTTTTATCTGAACATGAGACAATATGCAGCCTTACAATAACATTTCCAGTAATTTTACCATGCAGAAAAAAATTTAAGTTGACAGTTATAAACAAGTGTAAATGCCTAGTTTCAAGAGTATACTTTGAAATCTGTTCACTTGTAAAGACATAATAACCTCTTTCCAGTAACTGAAATATCAAATAGTGTTTGTACCTTTCAATCAGCTTCATTCTGGAAACCAATAAGCTAGGTACACCCATGTCCTCCTGTGACTAGAACATGGTTGTCTGTACAAATTAGAAATCAGTGCTCTTTCTTCACTGTCCCCACTTCCCCTTCCTCAACCCTCATGCCCCTCCTTGTTCCAATAAATAGACCAATAAAAGATTTTATTCAAGAAACTTAGCTATCCATTGCTGGGGGAGTTATTTCTTTTTATTTATTTTTTTACCTTGGTCATTCATGCTGTCCATTATTGTCATCAATTTCTTTAGTCTTGCCATTGATTCCTGTTCATTGCCCTTGCTCATAAAATCTGTTCCAAAACCAGGGATCATACCCTATATAAATGTTGCAGCAAACAGTTTTAATTGTGTTGGTTTTATAGTTTACAAGAAAAATACATTTAAATAACCTTATTAAGAATGTTGTATATTTTTACTTGGGCAAATCTGAACATATTCACCATAAACAGTGAAAAAGGGGATTTGGCAACATTTTAGCTAGCTGTCAACAATACTACTTTGCTTACTGCAAAAGAGAAAACAAAAACACCACTCAAACTCAAGAGAGTGATGTTTGATTGAAGAGAATATTTTTAGGATAGCTAACCAAGATTTGACTGAAGGGTCCCATTTTCATAATGTTTTGGAATTGTTCATACATGTCTCTCAATGTAAACTGACCTGAAATAAAACAAAAAATGGAAGGTTAGCGAAGGTCATACCTGATGACATGGATATCAATTCTGTTATTACCCATCTTAGATTACACTTCACCATTGGGGGGGGAACCACTCTTCCATCTTGTGCTGCTTGGCTATCTACCAATTCATCATCTGCACACCACATTTGGGTATCTTTAAGTTGCAATGCCATGTCAATAGCCATCCAGTTAACTTCCACATTAACCATTCAAAGTATTTAACTTCACTGTTCAGATTTATCTAATCAAGTTTGCTGCCTGACCCCCACACCAATCCACCCTCAATTAACCTTTACAAGCTCAAGATCATTTTCACAAGGTTAGCTTGAAGTAGCACCCCTCTACCCATTTCATATTTCTAGGGATTGGGAAGGTAACTTACCATGTTTGAGCTTCTCTATAAGCGCTTCATTATCATCCAGCTTTAATTCGTTTACTTTATCTATCAGTCCTTCAATATCACCCATACCTGGAAAAACACAAAGAAAATTCCTTCAAAGTTTACAAACACACATGCCATTTTTTTCTGCAGTCACGTTCTAAAAACGTAACAACTACAGTTAAAAAGAGTACACACCAAGAAGTTTGCTGATGAAAGGCTGCGTTTTGAATGGTTCAAAGTCATCTATATGTTCTCCAGTACCAATAAAAATAATAGGACTTTTTGTGGCAGCAACTCTGTGGTGAAATAGACAGTGAGATTAGACCAAATTAATACTTGACCCCAGACAAATTTTCTGCTCCCAGTCAGCATTATAAACTAACTTAAGTCCCTGCAGTATTCTAGTAACTCCTCAAAACTACTTGTTCAAAAGGATTTGCAATTCAGAATTTGAAAGCTACTTGCTAGCAGAATGCTTCCCAATTGCTAAAAGGTATGGAGATTTACAAAATTGTCCTTACTCTTTACAACTTTTATATTGATCAGGAATAGAAATATATATCTTGTGAATAAGTTTTAGAACAGATATGCAGTCCTCTTCAGTCTGCAGATAGATTTTGTGACTTTTCTGTCAACAAGGTTCTGACAGTTAACAATAAAACTGGCCATCTTAATATGCCAAGTGTGAACAGAAATAAAGTTTGTTACACTTCATGCTGCTGCTAGAAAGCAGAGATACACCAAAATCATTTAGGAAAGAGCAACCAACATGCTGAGAAATAATGGAGATCTCTTTGCTCCCACATCTCATGGCAGAGGGAGACCGATAAGGATTGTGTCTTCCACTTGGTGGAGGCAGAGGAGCTGATAGTATTTCAAGGCTAACAGATACCTACTAGCCAGAGACATAGCAAGATGTGAAGGTAAAACTTCTAAAGTAAGGACCAGTGACAACTCTTTTAGAGATGAGCTGTACTCCATGCATCTGTGGATATGAATGGGGCACCTGGTTTTAAAAGCCTGGCCCTAGGGCTGGCAGACAAGGCCCTGACTTTGTCTCTCTTTTGGAACCTTATTTTAAGGGAAGAATAGAATATTTATAGCAGTTTAAGTGGCTTGGCATTTTGGATGAGTCAGGCAACCCAACAAGTTGATACCAGAATATACCAGACAAGATTGTTTTGCTGGTGTTCTCTCTACTGTCCCTAATCAGCCCAATTTTCACCCATCATAATTCCCCAATCAGAAGGCTTGCTATATCTGACTTTATGTAAGGTTAAACAGACATTTTTTATACTTCAAGAACAGTGGTGCTCATGACCTTGGCCCTGTGGACCTCACGCTATTTATCTGCTCCACCTGCAAGCCAGATCAGGCCCTGTGACTGCCTCTGTGTGCTGGGATTAGGCCCAGCAACCCAATGCACCCAATACAGAACCACAGCCCACAGGGTTCCCCACAGATCTGAGGCAAACTTGCAGGCCAGATAACGTGGTGTCAGAGGTCAAGCACCCTTGTTCTAAAGGATTTAGGACTTGCTTCAACTGCAATACATAGTGCTATATGGCGCTCTCCTAAAAAGCATGGAATCCATGAAAATGTGACTAAAAGATTTACATTATTTTTTACCATATTTGTTAGATTCATACAATCCAAAGATTTGACTTCCATCTCACTGCTAGCAAGTTGTATCAAAACAATAACCTTACAATTAAATACCCCTTTCTCTTCATTGGCATAGCATCTTATGAGCCATATCTAGTAAGACTTACTATATTTTTAGTAGTATTTAAAAAGGAACTAAAGTCTAAGGCATTTACAGAAAAGTTAGCAATGCCATCTGAGAAGATAAACTGGTCATTAAGGAAACAGATTCATAATAGCTGATGCCTAATATTCAAAAGCCACATGACATGCAGCCCATCCCAACAGCTGTCAAGTGGCTGCAACTTCCTTCAGTGGGAGGGATCTGGGATCAGACCAGGAAGGGTTTATTTCAAGGTAAGCTTTAGTACCCTTAAAAGCACATAAAAACAACAAAAAGAATCTCAAAAAGAACTTCAACTTTTCTTCTGCTAATCTAAACACCATATACCTCTACTAGAATTAGGGACCATCTTCTACTTACGCACTAAGGGCACCTCCTCCTTTTGCATGGCCATCAAGTTTTGTCACAATAACAGAGGCTACATCCACTTTATCCTTGAAAGCTTTAGCCTGAGCTTCACAAGCTTGTCCAATTGAGGCATCCATCACGTAAACAATGTTATCTGGTTGCTGGAAAGTTTACAGGAGTGTCATTTCCGTTTCTTTTAAGTCATGTTTGTGCGCTATACTCTGGAACAGAACTTTCAAAGAAGTTTAAAAAAAAGAGTCCTCAGCTACAGTACTTTTAAAGAGAATTAAGGTCATGCAATGATCCCAGCAATCTGAAATTTTTACAAGTTGTTAATTTCTGATGTGTATTATTTGTGAAAAAATGTCCACTTGCTATACTAGTTATCTTCTAATTGGAGAATTATATATTTTTTTTTTTTACAAAGATTACTATTTATTTTGAAACATTTTAGTCAATATTTGATCTAGTTATCAAAGCCTAGTCTCCCACTGAAGTATCAGACCAACTCATAAAGAGGCTAGAGAACATCTTCCTGGCTTTATATTGGAGTATCCACTAAGAGGTCCACTCCTTCATGGAAGCCTTGAGACCCAGTATTCATAAACAACTCCAGTTAGTACTAAAGTGGAAACTGTATATGTTGGGTGCAATTATTTCATCAAAAAGTATAAAGTTGATTAAGCAGATAGCCACTAGCATAATCAAGGGAAAGAGGGGAGGGGCACAAAATATGCCACAGCCACAGCAGCAGTTGATGGCTACACTGCAAATTAGCATAGCAGCAGTCTATACTGCCCTATCTTCTGAGGTCCCTTCCAGCCCTAATGTCTATGAAATCTGTGGCTGCCTCAGGCTACGCTTCTACAAATTGCTAGCAGAGGCATAACTAACAAGGTTTGGGCCCTGGGCAGCTGATCTCAACAGAGGTGTTAGTAAAGCCAGAAGCCAGGGGATTAATGTAGCAGAAAGAGCTGGGTCATGATGAACCCCTTTGTTTATCCAAGTGATAGAGTCAGCAGCTGCAATATTAACCCTCTGGCTGCTGGTCACACTGATACCTACTCCTGTAGCAGTGTCCCCTGGGTACATGGGGTTGACAAGGGCACAAAGGACACAAACCTCCAACTGTCCTGTTTGCAGGACTGGCCCCACCCCCTGAATACTGCCTATTTCAGTCATCAGTGGCAAGGGACAACCACTGATTTGACAGCACAGTAGAGAAGCACCCTCTATACATCTCCATCCAGGACCTGTGCATTTGCTGCCCACCACTTGTTATGCTACTGGCAAATGGCCACAGAATCAAACCTGATAACCACATATGCCGTCAGCTTTGATACTTCCTGAGGATTGTTGCTTAAATGTACAACAGATGGTTATCATAAGATGAATTTGGTCATCAATATGGCTAATAAATTAGCACATCTGTTTCATTTAGGCCAGAACAAAGTGAAAACTGAAATCTTGGTTCATGTATATTTACATAATTACAGAAAAGGGACCATTCTGTTTTTATATGAATCTCTAAGTTTTGGGCAATCCTTGAAATGAGATTATGTTGAAACAAAATGATCACTGTCGTCTATCCACATGATACTTCTAATTCAATGAGCAACACTAAAAAACTAACAAGAACAGTTTAATGAGTATTCTTGAACTATCAAAAATAGAAGGCCAATAAGAGACTTAATTTCTCCTTGTCAGTTTAAAACTGTTGCTACACTTGAAAAATTCTGAAGATACAAGTTAAAGACCTGACATGTTCTGTAGCACCATTTAGGTAAAAAAGAGATGTGTTGGATTAAAGATTTTATAAGGAAATATTACTGTACACTTCTGGTTGTTACTCACTATAGCATTGGCAACTTGTAACATTTCTTCAAACAAAGAGTCTTCCTGTTTGTGACGTCCACTGGTATCAACAATAATTATTTCAAAGTTCTCATTCTTAAATTTCTCAACTCCTTCTGAGGCAATAATCACAGGATCCATTTCTGTGTAACTGTTCAAACACAGAGACACCTAATCAATATGGAAAAAAACAACAACAAAAAACAACACTGTTTGCTCTTCTCTCCCTCCCCCAAGATCTATATCCAGGAAAGTAAGAAAACTGAATTCACACAAGCAATTTACTATAAATCCACCCCAAAATTTCTAGATATACATTCTTAGTTAAACAGACATTTCTTAGGTATGAATGATAAACCTCAAATCTAGCAAACCAGTTTCCTTTTGGTGTCCAGTGTGCTAAAGAAGGACACACAATATGCAATATTTATATCACATCACTGGACAGGGCTCTTCCATCTCTGTTTATAGAATAGGAAGCTAGGCAAGAACTGAGATAACAGATTCAAATGTCATTAAGTAGAGCAATGATGTGCATGTCTACAATTGTCATTTCAACTGAGAGCCCATCTCTGTATCCACTTTGGGATACAAGTGAAGCATTAGCTAGCATTTCAAAGGTCAAAACAAAGGTATTTAAGGTCTCTCTAAAAACCCTGATTATTTACAAGTCATCATATTCTTGTTAATCTTATTTGACAGCAAACTGAGCCTTTGTACAGCTTAGACAAGCTAACATTACATATGTAGCAGCTTAATCATTTCTGAAAGCAAGTGGAAGGAGAAAAGTGCATACCTTCCATAAAAGGGAATTCTTGCTTTTGTTGCATTCTGTTTTAGCTGGTCAAAAGCACCTGTAAGATAGAGATATTTGTCAATGGATTGACAGGTACAAGTGTAGAAAAACTGAATTAGTCATTTAACAAAAACTATTCATATTACCTGCTCTGTAGGTGTCTGCGCATATCAAACACGTTTTCCAGCCTTTCCTCTGGTAATAGTATGCTAACTGTTGAAGTGAAATTCAAAATGAGTTATATTTTAGTGCTTTTATCTAAAGAAAAAGTCTTCTCCTAAAAATAAGAGATTACACATCTTCCAGCAACTAATTCACTGGAGCCCTGTATTTTCTAAAGGGCAAAGGTAAGACAGTTTTCCCCACAGTCAAACTGCTTGAAACTGAGATAGTACTTGACATTAGTAATAAATGTGATCTCAGATCTTACAGCCTCTTATGTTTTGATATAAATATTTTTTTCTACTACATAACCCATTAGCACTTAATGCATGGTGGATTTTGCACGATATGACAGTCAAGACAGGTTTGGAATGAAGCACGGAACTTCAATTTCCTACACTAGTGATGACCAAATAAAGTTGGGAAATGCTTGAAGTGAGTGGAAAGATGGAAAATCATTGTAATGATCACTAACTTTTCGTATTATGCCAACTTGAATCATGCAAACTGGGTTCTTGGTCCTGAATTTCACAACTGATAAATCGAAGACAGCTTTAGGAACTTCTCCTAAAGCCATATATTTTTGCCTTTGCAAAACAAAAGCCTTTCATTATATCTATATAAATTAAATCTGTTATTCCAGAGGCCAAATCATTACAGTCTACACATGAAGAAAGCAGATGGAAACAATGGTCCGAAAGCTTTTGAAGTTGGAACAAGCAATGATGCATACACCATAAAGCAAAGTTGATGATGATTTTGACAAAAGGTTATAAAAAATAAACAAATTAATCTTCCACAGTGAAATGCAGGTTAAAACTAGTATAATCTATTTGTTCACTGTACCATTAAGTGATCACATAGCCGAATGCTGCTTTTCATGTGAGCATTTCCAGAGAGATCTCCAGTCCAAAAAAAAAAATACCCCCACACATTTAATAATATTTGAAACAATGTGTCCCTTTCTGCAGTACTAAAACTAAAACAGGCCACCTCTGCCTTGAAAGCTCCTCTTATAAATAGCACTGTACTAAATAAAGTAAGCTCTACTTCTAACCATGGAAATATGCAAGCCATAAATAAAATCTACTAGAAATCTCTCTTTTGAGAACATTTTAATTTTTATTAAAATGTTATAATAAGACTTAAAGTTACCTTTGAACATGTTGTTGTTTTACCGCTTCCCTGCAACCCAACAAACATTATAATATTTTGTTTTCCTTTGGTTGGTGTCCAGGCTTTGACTCCAGGATCTACAAGCTGTAAAACAAAAACATAATAAAATTCCCCACTTCCAATTTTAGCATTTATTATAGTCAGTTAAGCAAGCATACAGCTTCTTCTCCCAAGTCTGTCCTGTTGGTCAGTCTGATTTTCATAACTAATCAAATGGATTAATTTATTCTTTTAAAAGGATGGCTGATCTATTATTACTGCTACTGTTGTTATTGTCTATACAGAGTGTCAGTTAAAATAGTATGGGCATTTTGTTCTGAACAGCATATGTATACAATGTTTCCTTGAGTTCAGATTTGGTTGTTTTTAAATTTTAGTACACATACAAGTTAGTCTAAGAAGCAATAGTTGATAGAGTATGCAGACATGCACAGTGCTGTTAACCTGGAGCAGAGTGAGATCTGGTCACAAATTTATCAGTTTTCGTGGCTTCTATTCAGAACCCTAACAAGCAGGTCTGTGCAAAGCAGCAAGTATTTCACATTTGGATTCAGCCAATTTGGAAGGACAGTGATTCAATTCAGTGATTCGAATTCCCAATTCAGATCCAAAGATTCAGCACCGATTTGGAGATTTGGCCATAAAACAAAAAACAGGCAGCAGTCCTCACCACACTGGACACAGCTGTCTTCAGCTGATAAGTCTGTTGTGGTGGGCAGTGGTAGATCAACACCTCCACAGCAAGGGAGAAGTTGGGGCTGGGACAAGCTGCCCAGCTGGGCCAGGGGGGCGCAGGACTTGGGGAAGGGAGCTTCCGCCACTGTGCACTGCCATGTGCCACTGGTCCAGGAGTGCATGGAAGTGGGCATGTGCCCCTGGACAGGTGGTGGAGGGCACTGGGAGCAGGAGCTATGCTCTCCCACCGCTCACCCAGCCTCCCTGCACCTCCTGGACAAGCCACAGCTTCGCCCGGGCTGGGCAAGCAGCCACAGGGCACGACAGCCGATGTGCACCCAAGTCAGGGAGGGGCTGCTGGCAGGGGCTATGGGGAATTTTAGGGTGGCTGAAGCCCCCCCACACCATAGCCCCTGCTTCACTGCACTCTGCAGGGCAGACAGAGCCAGGGCTGCGGCTGGAGCTACCTGCCCGGAGCACAGCACAGCCCAGCCTCGCCCAGCACCGCCCAGCCCAGCCCAGCCCACACAGATCTGGGGCACATGCCCACCCCTCCTGAACCAGCAACACGCAGTGGCGGGAGTCCCCCTTCCTGAGTCCTATGCCCCCTGCCCTGGCTAGGCAGCTTGTCCCAGCCCCAAAGCCTCCCTCGCTGTGGGGCCATTGATTTGCCCTGCCCCCCACGCCCCACCCCCTCCAGACTTACCAGCTGGAGGCAGCTGTGTCCAGCATGGTGAGGATTGCTGCCCATTTAGTCTATGGCCAAATCTCTGAATCAGCACCAAATCTTTTCCTAATTAATTCGGAGGCTTCCGATTCAATTCTGACCTTTTATTTGGTTTCTCGATTCGATTTGGATTCAGAGATTTGGCCGCCGAATCTCTTCCAAATTGAATTAGCTACTGAAGCCTTGCATAACCCTATGAACAAGCATCTTGTCAGCAACATTGATTCTGCTGCTGCAAAAAGACAAGAAATTGTGGAAGCAGGCATTTAAGATAAATATCCTGGTTTCGTCGCTCAAAAAAGGATGAAAAAAATGGAGTAAATTTAATAGAGATATCCCAAATATTTGCAATGACTAAGCCTATGGTGTGGAAAGGGAGAAAACAGAGAAAAATGCTCTTCTCAGGTCTTAGAGTGTTAGAGAACTGGGGCCTTCAGATTTGTTAGCCATCTTCCAACTAACTGACATACCTGGTCTAGAACATGCTCCAAGCACACAGCCTGCAGGCTAGATGTGACCTATGGAGCCACCAGTAGACCACTAGAAGTTGGGGGGCCTGGCCTGCTGTTCAGTTTGGGACCCTTTGGTCCCACTGGCCATAGCCACCATTCCCAAACTCCTTCCCCTGAATCCAGTGCCATTATCAGACCCCTCCCACCACCAGCAGATCTCTTTCTACTGCCACTGGGGCCACCACAATGCTCCAGGTTGGAAATGGCCCACAAGGAGCCTTGTGGCTAGGGTTTAATCCAGGACCCGAAGTGAGTTTGACACCCTTGTTCTGACCATAAGCTTTCACAGGCTTAGAAAGCAGGTAAGTTTGGGAAGACTTCATTGAAGGCAGCAAAAGCTGGATCTCTGGGACAACCACTGGCACTCCAGTCTTCCAAGAGGAAGTTTGCCAAAACATTTAACATCATGTAAGAGGTTGGGGAGGTCAGGCGGGGGGG